GACCCACTTCCAGTGACCTAAAGACCCCCCTCCCCCCCAATGCCAGAGGCTGGGAAGCTGGGTATGTGTTAGCATTGGAGGAACATCCAGAATTCAAATGGCGTCAGGCCCCCAGCTGCACCCGCGCCATTTAGAAGAGAAGGTGGATGACTCTTGAGGGATTACCCGAGGGAGCAAATGCTTCCCTCAAGCTGCTGAGCCACTGACTACCACAGAGAAGCTAAGCACATCCCTGTAGGGAGGGGCAGAAACAACTCCTGGGGACTGTGCCCCTCAACAAATCACAATACGTGTGAAAACACCTTGGGACCGGTGAAGGAGGGCAGATGACCCCATACCACACCAGCGACATTAACCTAAGGTCAGTGCCTCACCTGGTGCTTGGGCAATGCCTACCCGGCAACCCTGGTCCTTGGGAAACAGCCAAGGACAGCAGCTGAGCAAGGTGGTCTGCATGTCTTCTTGGCCTACCTATTGGAGCACGTGCAACTTGCAAACAAACTCTATGTTCTCACATCTCATGTGGGCACTCCCAGACCTTAAACCAAACGGACAACACAATCCAGGGAGACAACTTCTTGGGGAAGAAGAGCCCCAGATCACTTTGACTCAATGACAGCAAAACGACACACCTCCACCATTTCCCCCTCTGTTAGTGCTTAGCCCAGCGGGGTGTACACTGTATTCCCAATTATGTCTGGAAAGCTCACAAATAAATCCATTCCCATATTTAGGATGAGAGGGAAAAAAAAAAAAAAGTCTGCTCCATGCCAGTAACTGGCTGGGGCCTGGTGTTTGGCACTGAAGTCAGAGTTAGCAGTTTGTACGCTTTGAAGTGAGAAGGCTTTCCCCCTCTTTTATTAGCAATGAAATGAACTTTAAAGGAAAAAAAAAAAACATTGGTGAGCAGTATTTTTCCATGGCAAGCCATGTAATGTCTTTGGTACAATTCCCTATTTGGTACAATTCCCTATTTAGAAAGCAGAGCTGCCTTGAGGCACTTGGGACTACCTGGTATATCTCACACAACTCTTGCCTATGAGAATTTGGACAAGTGTGGGTATGTTCAGTGGACCACCATCTCTTAGGCATCTGTCAGGAGCTAAAATGTTACAGTGGAATATTTTAGAGCAGTGATTTCCAAACTGGGCCTCCACACCCAGATCTCTCTCTCTCTCTCTCTCTCTCTCTCTCTCTCTCTCTCTCTCTCTCTCTCTCTGTGTGTGTGTGTGTGTGTGTGTGCGCGCGCGCATGCATTATTATATGCACATGTTATCTTGAGGGATTTTAACAGGCAACCTGGATGAGTCTGATGCAAGCCCTTACTGAGAAAAACTCACATAAAGTCTTTAAAATGCGTTGGCCAAAAGAATCAGGGTTTTAAATTGTGCAGAATTTTTGTTTTTTTCAGAAAGATTCAGAACTCATTTTCCTGCCAGGAAAGGAGAACATGTGTGTTCTTGACTTCCCATAGGCTATTTCCATGGCTGGAGAGATGGCTCAGTTGTTAAAGGCTAGGCTTACAACCACGAGCTATTTCCAGAGTGACTAGGCTTATTCTGACTTTGCTGATTAGGAAGTCACCCCAGGTCAAGAGATGTGCTGAGGGGGAGGTGGTGTCTGACTGGGGCAGGGTCTCCAGCTCCTGACTTGAGACCAAAGGTGAAGTTTGGGGCCTCCCTTCACACAGCCCTGAAGTCAGAAGCCCTGGGAATTGCCTGAAGAAAATTCAAGTACATTACTGCCCTGGCATTAGATCCAGTTTCCCTGGAAGCCCCACACCAACAGGGAACTTTGGGAACGGAGGTAAACTAAGGAATTTAGCTGTGTTCCACTTTAGAGCATTTAAGCTGCGATGGAGAAATTTTGATTGCATGGTTATGGTACCCTGGGAAAATCATCCTCATCGATTCTCCATAGCCGAGGGCCATGCTATTCACCATGACAGACAGACACAAGCCAAGGTCTATAGATCTAAGTGTGCTACTAGAAAAATGAAGAAATGGGGTGTCCCTTAAAACCTTCCAAATTCTGCATCTTTAGAAGAGTCCCCCGGGAACTTCTCTGATTTCACAGATGTTCCCTGGGACTTCCTGGGTGGCTGCCGGGCTTTTCCACACCACACTACAAGGTGCCATAGTTAAAAGCTCTGACGGTGGGAAAGAACTCCTTCATTCTACAGTCCTCCCTTCCCTTTGCCCGCAAGGGAAGACCTGCCTTCAGCCCTGTGAGAAACACTGCAGACAGAATGGACCAGACAAAGAAATTCTTAATCACATTAGTGGGGAAACTCTCAGCACAAACAATGCATCTTTTCAATGGCTGAAGATTTTATGAATAGACAGAATGCTTGCTGCTGTATCTGTCTCCAGCTCTTGGGGGGAGAAATACCACTTACCATTAGATCCCAGCTCAGTTCCAGAGCTTCAAAGAATTATGTTCATCTGCCAAAACCCTATGGTGGAGTCAACTACAAAGCACAGTTTATGAAAATCACTAGAAGCATTCTTAAAATATTAACTTCTACAAAGCACCCTTTTCCTAGAATGCTTCCCACTCTAAGGAGTGGCTATGGCTAGAGCATGCTTGCAATAGTGTCGCCCGGGACCCTTCCTCCTCTGACCACACCTAAACCCAGCTGCTGCCCCTTTTGATGACACAGTTGTGACTGGAGAAAGCCCTTCTGAGGCTTCATGTGGGAAGTCAGACTGGTCCTGGGCATGCTCTATACATTTGTCTGTCCTGCACCATGGATCAGTGTTTAATAGGTTCTTGCTACTTCTCAGCCAACAACAGCCTGCTGAATCAGGTAGCAGGTTAGATGCTGCTGTGGGCCATGGAGTGAAGGCTAACATCGCACACTCACATCCTTCCCACTTGGATCTCACCCCGGAGAAAGACCAGAGACGCTAAAGAGATCTTTGACGAAAACTCTATTGGTCCTCTCACTTGATGTCAAGCAGGAGCCTCAGTCTTACCTAACTGTGTTGTTTCAAAACGACCCATTTGCTTCCTGTTGAAACCAACCAACAGAAAGGAAGAAAATGCCACAGTTTAAGTAAAATCCAAAGTTTTCATACAAAAGTGCTGCGTAATTTAACTGAAGAGGAGCACTTCTTGGCTCCTTATTGGTGGGAACAGCTCACTGTCTGCAAGGACAGCCATGTATCACTTAATGAAGGGGACATCTGGGAAACGAATCCTAAGGTGACTTCTTCATTCCCCGTGGAGAGTACTTACACACACCAAGATGGCTGAGATATGACATCACTGGGACATATGACATCATGGGACTGTCCATAAATGCCTTTTGTTGACTGAACTGTTGCCATGCAGCAGAAGACACACCTGACCTTTGCCCTTGCTCAGGGGAGCCGTACGCACCCTAAAGGGTCCATGAGGAATTCAGCCTCTCTGTAGTTTGAAAGTCAGCCACTTTATGAGGACGGGACTTGGCAAATGGCCCAATTCAACACTTTAGAATTGTAGTTGCTAGAGCGAATGGACACAGAGCGGGGCTTGCTAGGGCAGTCAAGGAAAGGAAGCACTTGTCAAGGAAGGGCTTTGTCTGCTAGTCAGGCACCCGTCGACCCCATCCTGCCAGCATGGCTCTCTTCTGTTTTGGACATTTACATGTTGCTTGACTCCTTTCCCTACAGATATCAATGGGGGGCATGCAAGCTCACTCCTGCAGGACAGGCCCAGCATTCTGGACACTGAGGGGTATCGGCTGACTTATTTACCAGGTAAAAGACCAGTGATAATAGCCTGGGCTATCTCATGAACAAAAGCTCTTGGACGTGTATCTAGACCCAGGAGTTTGTATTTATTTCTGTAGAGGCTGCAGAGCCGGTAGTCAGGATGGCCATGCCCTGATCCTCAGTTAATCTCTTCCTACCCCTGCTTCTGTTTCCAGTATTGTAAACACCCTACTGCCCACTCAGGAGGCTGAACCAGCACGGACATCTACTCAAAGAGCACATGCCCTGTAAGAGATGTCTAGTATTAGAGACAATGGCAGTCTCGCAGATAATGGAGACCTAAGAGTTGTACATGTTGGTTTGCATCCAGAGAAATGCCAAGGCAGGGCTGGACAGAGGGTTTCTGGCTCTCTGGGAAGGAAACACAGAGCCTAGGGAATGGACCTAAAGTAGTAACACAACAGTGCTTCACTTTACAAAGAGGGATGAGCCTGGCTAGTGAGGCTCCTAGTAGCTCCTAAAGCCTAGGGCTTGGAGCATCCCCTTGTGGGGATCTAAGAGGATTCTGACTCTGTGTAGCCAGCCCAGCATGGCTTTATGGTGTAGGCTCATACAGCCTCACTTGAGAACTGAGATTACCGCTTTAGGCCATACCCGACTCCTTTCTCTTCACACCTGACGTGATAAGAGTTCTGTGACCTAATTGGTCATTGTCAGTGGTTCAATGTTAGACAATTGGGCATAGGTTAAGTAAAAAAAAAAAAATCAGAAACAATTCAAACAAGAATAGTAAGATCTCTAACCTCAGCCTCTTTGGCTGGCTTGAAGATATGAACAAAGGAAGATTCTGGCATACCCACTACCTGGTTACTAGAGTTCTTAGGCTGATATTTTACAAGTGACCAGTTACCAATTAAGCAGTCCATCATGTACTTAACACTGAATCTGTGAGCAACACAAGCTTGGATCATGACTGCCTCAAAACCACTCCCATTTTGTATACAATTACAAAGAGTGTTGTTGTATACAACCAGCACATAACTAAGGAAATGTGAGCACACCACGTATGTCGGAGGACTGAGGGGGAGATGCTTCATGGTATTTAAATGTCTCACACCACTTCTGTGGATGAGACAACCTCTCATAGCTGCTTGAATTGGTTCAGCTACTGTCAAGTTTTGACGCAAGCAGATGACAATTGCCTTTACCCAAGTTCACTGTTACAAGACACAGAAAGCTGGTTCGTTCACCTGTGCACAAGCATAATGGAGAGACGACACACACAATCACAGTACTGACCTGCCCTTTCATGTCAGGAGCAATGGGGATGGTCGGCCAGATGGTGGAGTAGACACCAAAAAACACCAGCCAGATCAGCATGCTTCCCCACACCGCCAGGTGACTGAACTGTGGAGGAAATAAATGCTTAGACAGGGCTTTCTGCTGGCCCCGGGGGTCAGGGTGGGAGTGTCTACTCCAGCCCATAAGTTGCCCAACCCCCATCCCACATCCAAACCCCTTCCCTGATGGGAAGGAAGAAACCGAGGACGTACTCGTTACTGGAGAGCTCTGCCTTTCTCAGTAAGCTCCTTGTCTCAGGATTTGTCATGATAAATTTGAATTATGGATGGCTTATACTATCCTGAAGATGGAGGTGTGTTAAGCCCCCAACCTTCTTCTAAAATCCAAGCCCCAGCCATGACCCGCCCATCCCTGGGGTTATCTCGTGTCTGTTTTTATAAAACAAGGGTGCAGGCATCTAGAGAGAGAGCAGTGAAATGGACAAATAGAATATTCTTATCCCTTAAAGACAACATCTGTCATTTGCAGAGACTGTTTAAAAGCAACTCGGAATGGCTAATGCCCCTTTTAAAAACTTGAAACATTGCATTTAATAGAGTTTTAAAAATCCACGTACAATTGTTCACATTCACAGGTACAGTGTGACAGACACTCCAATGCATGTATATACTATGCAATGATCAGGTCAGGATAACTGGCATATCCACACCCATAAAACATCATTTCTGAACTTGAGGAACATCCAAAATTCTTCCTTCCAGTTGTTTTGAAAGTGGGTACTCAGTATAGTTACCCCACTTCATACAGGACTTTAAAGTGACTCTTCCCACCCTGATTGACTCTGCATCTGCTAGTTCTTCCCGTGCGTCTCCCCCTCTCCCTCCCCCTCCCCCTCCTCAGCTCTAGTAACTAAAACTCTATTCTTCACTTCTGTGACACAAACATCTTATGCCTCTTTAAGTTGTTGGCCTCTTTTCTTTGTGCCCTTAATACAACCCTTGACTTCTCTCTTTATAAATTACAATCCAATCCCTCAGCAAGCTCTGCTTTTCGGGTTCTAGTTTTAAACTAGTACTTCCACATTCTGACACTCACTACCTCTTCCTGCAATATTCCAGGCTAAGCTGCCATTTCCACCTCCTACCCGCCTTCATCCTTTGACAGATTCCCTGGCTCCATGGTGACCTTCCATCCTACCCCATTTACTTAGTACCAGAGCAGGAGGTAAGCGAGCTACAGTCCCACTGTGAAGTGTGGGTCTTAGCCCATCTTGGAAAGAACCAAACAGGAAACAGGATGCTCATAAAACAAACCCAGGATAGCTATGCAGTGTGGTACTCTCTAATCACGGGCAATCGTCTCACTGAAGTGCGCTTTAAGGATTCCAAATGTGAGACTTTAGGAGAAAAATAAGATGACAAAACTCTATGTGCCACAATTCACCCTTTTATTTGAGGATGCACACCAAGTCAGAGGTCGAGAGACTGCCCAGGTGTGCCAAGGTAGAGCCACGTGCAAATACAACATTTTCTGACTTGTTCTGCATTCTCTCTCTCTCTCTCTCTCTCTCTCTCTCTCTCTCTCTCTCTCTCTCTCTTCCTCCCTCCCTCCCTTCTTCCTTCCTTTCCTCTCTCTCTCCCTTTATTCCTTTTCCTTTTCCTCTCCCCCCATCCCCTCAGTAATGAATTTTCATTTCAGGCAGGTAATAATCAGTAGCTGTAAGCTGGGCTAGGTGCTGAGCAAATAAAGCCCCAGGAGAGGTTGGATCCCAAATTCCAAATTGCCTTCCTAAAGATCAAAAACAATTTTTACTTGCAAAATTTGAAATAAGACAACAGTGTAGCATTTCTTGTTTCCCCACGGATTAAATGGAAGTCACTGCATACAACTATCTATAATGGAGAAAGAAAAGTTCCAAAGACAACTCACTTTAGTCCACGCTGTTGTCTCCAAACCTGCTTTCAGACAAACTGTAACCACAACGTACTGTGAAGAAAAAAAAAAAGAGAGAGAGAGAGGAGTTTGGTATGATGCAAGGATTTCTTGATCAGTCTGAACTTCAAGGAAGCCCCAGCCCATAAAGACATGGAGTAAGTCATTTTAATGTGGGGAGCCGTGTATAACTGGGGAGGTAGAACCCTCATGAGTGCCCTTTAGGAATGGCTCAACAGTGCTAAACGTACCGTGTAAACAATATTTCCAACAAACAAGTAGTCTGTGGCGTGCCCACTGGCCAGTGGAGTATCTGGAAAACAAAGAAGCCACTGTTAATATCTAGAGGCCACAGTGCAATCTGTTTTCTTCTTCTTTTTTGTCAGAACATAGAAAAATGGAACAGTAGAAGCATCTCTCAAAGCGTGAGGTCATTTCAAAACTAACTCCTTCGTGATTCTAAAGGTCCTTTCTCATGCTAATGGTACTGTTTTTTCACCTTATGTGTCCTTCAAATGAATAAAACAAAATCAGATGTTCAAACAAAACTAATGGTTGATTGGCACTGAATTTATATATATATATTTTAAAATCAAATTATCTTTTGGTCTGCTTGAAAACAAGGTGAACAAGGACTGGTCCAAGGACACATCAAGTGCCTTAGCTCTAGGACCTTCTCAAACCTTTCTCTTAATATTTGCTGAAGTGGGACTGGACAGCATCACACCGAGCACAAAGTGACTGACTCTCCTAGGGAGATATTCATGGTTCTTGTTCTCACTCAAGCGCCTGTGCTCTGGGAGTGAAGGTGATCCAGTGAGAGGTGTTTCATACAGCTGGGACCTCAAAGCTTCGTCTTCACGTTTCTTTCTTTCCAGGGGTGGCTCTGCAAGGTTCCTGGAAGCCATGGAGCCAGAGAGACTCTGCTTGGTGACCACTCTGGAAATCTGACTCCGATCCCAGGAGTGCCAAACAAATTTAAAGTCAAGAATGGCTTCCCATCTCCTTCCCTCCTCCGCACTCAGGTTCAGGTGTGTGTGTGTGTGTGTGTGTGTGTGTGTGTGTGTGTGTATGACGACAACAACACACAAGCTAGGTTGCAGGGACTGCTGTGTGAACACTTCCAGTAAAGCTGCTGCTATCCATGAATATTGGGGCTGACTTCCTCAGCTAATCTGTTGAAGATTCTGTTTATTTTCCTAAAAAGGTATGCTAATCAGGTTGAGTTCTAGGTGGGTTCTGGAAGTGGGTGGGTCCCTGGGTCAGTGGAAGGGTATAGCTTTGCTCCTGGCTCTGAGAAGTCAGTCTGTGACCAGAGGAAACTTAAGCACAGAGTGGCAGGCACCAGGGCTACATTAACCACAGCCCCGAACTTCCATGAGTACTGCCGGGCTTTGGAAGAGTTACACTAGGAGATCAGAAAGGGACTCCACCCCAGACAGAAACAGAAAGCTCCGGAGACTGATGGGAGAGGGGATGAAGAGAGGTGAGAAGGTGAGGAAGAACCTCATTGAAAGCAAACAGAAAGCTGAAAAGGGAGCAGCTCAATTGATTTCAGTAAGTCAAAAAACTGGTGTGAGCTGAGTATCCCTCATCTGAAAACCTAGAGTCTTAAGTGCTTTGGAATCCCACGGGAGCCTTTTAGGTTTTGGGTTAGGGATAGTCAATGAGTGAAATCTATGCTAATTATTCCACAGTCCAAAATCTTTGAGCAAGCAAATGCTTCTGGTTCCAAGCCAGGGATACTCATCCTGTCCTTGCAAACAGCCATTGTGAATTGAGAGTGTCTATCACTAGTGACTGGGTCTGAGGTTATTATAGATGCAGTACCTTAAAGACATCCTCCACTAAGGGTCACGTGAGATTAGACAGGGGTTGTTTATTTGAGTTTAATGAAGATCATAGCCATGAAAGGAGGAAGCTCAATCTTTTATGTACTCAAATCTACTCTATGCAAGGCATTGTGGGAACTCAGAAGAAAAGGCTCCAGTCTCCATGGAGTCTGAATGACAGTCGGGGAACAGAGCATACACAAATGAACAAATGGACATACAGTCAGCTAGAGGAAATTTAAGCTATACTGTTTGAATACAGAGTGGCCAGAGATTGTTGTTTTAGTTAGAGAGGTGACCCGGGAACAGATCAGAATAATAGAGAGGTGTTAGTTCAATGATCATCAAGAACAGGCTCCTGGGAAAGAAAAGACATTGTTAAGAATCGTAATGAAAACAGTGCTTGATGAGCTCAGAGTTCATCATGAAGACCGGTCTGTCTAGAGATTCAGGGAGCGAGCAAACAGTCAGAGGCCAACAGATGCAGGCTGGACCAGAGTCTGCACTTCAGTGGTGGTCAGGACCGATGAAGCTGGAGGCTGCTGAGCCTTCCATGAAATCATTTAGAGTATTCCCAAAGGAATGGTGCAGCTCCCGGGTGAACAGAACAGGGAGAATGACAAGTACAGTGCCAGTTAGGCAGGGATGGCAGTCAGCCGTGCAGGTGATGGAGGGTGATACCGGAAACAGCAGAGTTATGCATCCACTAGCTCCATTTACTTGCTTACCTTTAAATTAACTGAAAAAAAAAATCCCAGAGGCTTGGGAGGAGGGAGAGGGAGATGTCGCTTAATGAGTTCAGAGTTAAAAGTTTGAGGTGATGAAACAATATTGCAAACAGCCAGAAGAGCAAGCTCTGCGCAACTAGTGTCTCTGATTTGCATATGTAAAATGGTTAAAAACTGCAGAATTTACTTATGTCTGTGCCTATGATCACAATATAAAATTAACAAAACATGATCACAGGGCCAAAGCAATACAACCTTTAGAATAAATGGAAGCAGTGCATCTTTCCAGCCCCAGATTTAAGAATGATCTCAAGAAAAGACACCAAAAGTATGGTGACAAACCAGGGCCAATTAGACTGGATCAAAACAATGGAGAAAACACTTGCACATTTTATGTCTGATAAGAAGCTTGTGTCTAGGATATAGAAAGAACCCAACAAACAATCTAAAACTTCTCAGTATGAACCTGGGCAAAGGATCTGAGTACATATATTAAGCAGGGAAGACACACAAATGGCCAACAGGGATTCAGGGAAACTCAACATGATTGGGAACAAAGAAAACAATCCCAAAGCCACTTGAAGAATCACTTCATACCCATGAGGATGCCAATAACAAAAATGACAACCAAGAGACAGAGAGTCAGAGAGCTGGGCAGTGGTGGCATATGCCTTTAATCCCAGCATGTGGGAGGCAGAGCCAGGCGGATCTCTGTGAGTTCGAGGCCAGCCTGGTCTACAGAGTACCCAGAGAAACCCTGTCTCGGGAGGGGAGAGGGAGAGAGAGAGAGAGAGAGAGAGAGAGAGAGAGAGAGAGAGAGAGAGAGAGAGGAGACCTATAATTGTTCACGCATGGCTGGAAGCTGAGTAAGCTGTGTAGACATTTTGGAAAATTATTGGGACTTCCTAAAAAAGAGTGCGCACATTTATTACATGACTCAGTAATTCCCAAGAAAAATGAAAATGTGAATGAAAGACAAAAGCTTATACATGAATGTTCAGAGCAGCATTATTCACAACTGCTCACGACGTCTAAAACAATGAGCATCATTATTCCCTATCCACAGTAGCCTATTCAGAGTGCAGATGTCCGTCAAGTGGTGAATGCACAAATAAATGTCCATCACTCAGTGAGTGGTGCATCAATACAATAGAGTATTGTGAAGAAATAACAAGGAATGAAGTGTGGGTACATGCCACAATGTGGATGAACCTTGAGAGGGGAAAGAAGTTAGGATAAAATGTCCAGGGGGGACAGACCTACACAGACATGGTGCAAAACAGCAGTTGCTAAGGGTCTGAGGGCCGGGTGACAGCCTTCGGGGGTGATGGAGTGTTTGAAAGTTGATGATGATGTGGTGGTTGGGTTGTGTAATGGAATTACACCTTGAGATGGGGGAATTGTACAGTGTAAATATAGAGACACAATTATACAATGATGAAGCTGCTGCAAAGACTTGGTTCCCTAGCCACACTGGCCACATTCCAAATACTCAGAAATTGTGTGTGGCTAGTGGCTGCTGTCCTGGGCAGCAGAGACATGCACCATCTCCCCCTGCCCCCTCCTTCAGTCCAACTGACAATTCAGGGCAAGAAAGGCCACGCCAGAGGTACTGAGAAGTGACAGAAACTGGTAAATATTTTGAAGTAGGAATGACAGCATTTGCTCACACTTTGGAGGTAGAGTAGGAGGGAGTGTGAGGAACCTCAGCCTGAGCAGTGAGGTAAACAGGATCACTGACTTGTGAAGGAGCCCAGCAGTCTGGTCTTTACCATGGGGAGACTGGCCGGAGGAGGAGCCCATGAGGACCCGTAGTGGTGTTTTCAGTTCACAACAGGAAAGGCCAACACAAAACATGACTATGTACAAGAGAAGGAATTTGGTAAATGAGGCGAGGGAAGGAATGAGCTTAGCAGGCAGATCCTGGTCATGAGAGTTAGGAGATGCTGGTACAGCCTGCCTCTCCTACCCCAGTTCTAAGGGCAGAGAGGTTTTTAGATTTGAGGCTGAGCCCTACAGGCCTCGTTTCTAACACGGAGGTTTCCTATCAGGGACAGAGGTTAAAGAAGAAGATGTGGCAATGACCGAAATGACCCCCAAGTTTTCCCTGGGGCAGGAAATGCATGATGCTCTTAGCTGTTAAGTCAGCCCCGTGCATGGAGTGGCAGAGATGCGAGCCTCAGCTCTCCTCCTCTGCTAGGTCCAGATGGATTTCCCAGTCTGTCCATCCTGTGTAGTCACAAGCACAGAGACTTTTAACTGAGATGAGCAGTGACCTGGAGCCTTGATGTTCTATCTCCACTAAGTCCTGGGGAACCCAGAAAAACTCTGGCCAGGTGGGAGAGTGGATGGAGAGGAAGACTAAGCCCCAAACTGAAGCCCACAGTCCTGGTCTCACGGCTTCTGTTGTTGTTTGTTTGTTGGGACAGTCCCCAAATGCTGGCATTGCTGACACACACACTGCCACATCTGGCCTGACCGTTGTTTTGTTTCTTTTATCTCTGGTGCTGGTGACAGAAGTCAGGGCCTTGCACATGTCAGGCAAGTGCTCCCCACTGAGGTCGCCCCCCCCAACCCACCCCCGCCATTGCCGTGTTCTGGAGACGGGGCACTGCTGTAGTCTCACCAGCATCAAGCTTGTAACACTTGCCTCAGATTCACTAGTGTTGGAATCACAAGTGTGCAAACCACACTCAACTCTCAATTTCCTTCACTATCAATATTTCCCATGCAGGCTGATCCATGGACTAAAA